TTTTCATATCTTTTTTTTTCACTGCTCTTTGGACTGTCATAGCTGAAACTCCTCTCTCACATGCCAAACATCTTATGGATTGAGTTGGATCTTTTCTAATTGATCTCTTTAGTTTCAATTTGAAATGGTGATCCCTTTTCCTGTTGTGACTTCCTGATCCAGTTTTTCTCTCTAGTGTTCCCACTTTTACATCTTATTTACCGTTTTGAATGTTGGTACCATTACTGAAAGCCTGAATGATCTTTTCCTCTCACCATTGCTCAGTTTGATAAGACAGTGGGGCTGACACAAAACCATTTTAACCTGTTCGCTTTCTAGCTGAATAACACAAAGTGTTTTCAGTGATTCTTACAACAAATGGTGTCAAGATGGTTAAACATCTTATCGGAAGACTTGTAAAAAACTCAATTAGTTTAGTGTTTTTTTAGATATTAAACATTTTGTGGTATTGACAATTATGCTGTTACACGATTTGGACAATTTTTCTGTTACACCCGGTGTATATATATATATATATATATATATATATATATATATATATATATGTGTGTGTGTGTGTGCTTTCCTTCATAAGGATAATTGTACCTTGCCTTGCTGTGAAGTCTTTCGTGGCTGCACGTGCTTCTTATATCCTGATGATATTGAATGCCAAGATGGGTACATTGGGCTTCGGAAATGTGTACATAAGCGTCACTTTTTTTAAAATTATTTTACCCCAAGCAGCACAGTAAAGCCACTAAGACGCAGGGGGTTACAGAGTGTTAGAAAATATTAGGAAAAAAAAAACACTGTAAAGGAGGGAGAACAAGAAACGGACAAGAATTAAGAAGACAGTAGATAACGATTGACATTACATTTAAATTTCTGAAGATCACCGGAAAGCAAGAAGCCAGAAGAGCGTTTCGCAAACAAGAGGTTCGATAGAAGAAACTGTTAGCATGGAACTCACGGTTGCATTTAGACATTCCAACTGATGAAACCTCGCGACCAATCTAGTACTGCACTTGAATTCATAATGTCTATGAACGATATTTGTTGTTGTGCTACTCTCTACACAATTACATTTTTTTTTTAAAAAAAAAAAGCCTATAATACACACCAAACACGCTCATCCGAAAAAAAACACCCAATAAATATCTGCTTTGCCTTATGAATAGTGTTGAAGTATTTAGTATGCCACTGTTTCACAAGATTCTATAGATCACTAGTACCAAATCCCATAATATTAAATGTTATTGGGAGGGGCTTTTATATACCACCAGATGTAGTAATACCTTGCCAAGATATTTTACAAGTCTTTTTCCGAGTGAAACAGAATCTCTTTGCTTATTTGTTACATACGGAATTGATTCTGTTATCCTTTAGATTAAGTTGAATAAAAAGCAGTATACCGTAAATAAGTTCTTTCAAATGAAGAAATATATAAAATATTTCTCCTCTGAATATCAAATGAATGACACTCAATGACCTAGTTTCTTTACAAACTCTCTTCCTCATCTTTTGCGCTTCTCGCTAAAGAATTAAATTTAAAGAAGATCACTTTAATTTTGGAATGGTTACTAAAATTATTTGGCTGTGGGTCAAGAGCTCCCCTCTCCGGCCAAGTGCTTTTCTACCCCTAAGGGTCCCATTTAGAATTCTGCACGCAGCCTACATCTAGCATTTCATCAAAGTCTATAGAATAAAGGTATGTGCTTTGCAAACCAATTCCAGTAGCAATGTTGCATCAGGTATGCAGAGAAATGGCTAATTATATCTTCCCAAACACTGTTCCCGACCTCTCACCATCATTCACATGCTCAATGGCATTGTTTCACAATGTGACCCTAAGTCTATTAGTAATGTTGTATCCTCAAGTACAATTTGTAGATGGAGTCGTGCCAAATTGTTCAATTCGACTGATTCTGGTCGTAGGGAGAACAGGATTTAATCAGTTTCTTTTGCAAAGTTGATTTGCAACAATAAAAATAATGGGCACATTAATAATTATCAATCAAGGTCCTAATTCAAATTGCTACTTTAATATGCATGACGAGGTGTGAATAAATGAGTCTGTCTATTATTCCTGGCTTCGTAGGTTGAGCTCAAGTGGAAGGCAAGTGAGAGAGGACAGCGATTGGTGGCTGGTTTCAGCTTGGGTGAGTCTAAGATGTTTTGGATTAACAGTGTGGCAAAGTCATTTTGATTGAGTTGTGTCTCAAGTGTCTGGTTCACGTGTTTCAGTTGTGGCTCAAGTTATGAAACAGGAAATTTAATAACAACAAAGATGAGGACATTGATCTAAATAGAAAGAGTGTAAATAAGGACATTTCTTGTGATCAAAATTCCCTTCTGATTGTGTTTTTGACATTGGTATAAATAAGCTTTTAAACTTCATATATATATATATATATATATATATATATATATATATATATATATATATATATATATATATATATATATATATATATTCAATATATAAAGTGAACATTCAAGTCAACACTCAGAGGCGACATATATATATTGCTAAAACAGTATTTTAATGGATATCCATATTTGTGTCGATGCTCTGGTTTTTATTTATTTATTTATTGAACAGTTATGCCGGAAGTCATATATTTTTCTAACAAGATGTCTCGAACATTCGGGTCAGGAGATGGAAATAAATAAATATACTTTTTAATAAATAAATAAAAAAACATTTACTCAAATATAGCAATAAATTAAAATATATCGGATTAATATTGAAAAATCCATTTCTATCTCTCTCTCTCTCTCTCTCTCTATATATATATATATATATATATATATATATATATATATATATATTCATAGATATATGTATCATTAATACAAAGTTTATCACTTAGCTGATTGGTATCAGCTTCAGAATCCCGACTCCAGAGTTTCGTAGACGGACACTCTGGCAATCACTTCGTTCGCTCGTCAGGGGAGTGTCAGCAATTATAGTTCTCAATTTTTTTCTTTTACATATGCACTTTTCAGTGGTGTAATGTTGATTATTTATTTTCATTGTGTGTGTGTGTTTTGGGGTATGTGCGTGTGCGCGCTTATGTGTCCATTTGCACGCATGTGTGTACGTAGAATGTAGTGATTATTTCTTCTTTTCGACTTTTTCTATGCTTCTTTGTCTCGAATACTAACTTGACAACAAAATAAATATAAAAGTACTATTTTATGGTACATAAATGCCGTTGTGATGCTGTAAAGTGTTGTCATTGGTATTTACAAGTCGCTTACTATATCTACTAACTTTACATGGTGTACTACCGACTCTTTTCACTTAAACCTTTTAAGTGTTTTAACAGAAAAAAAGTGCAAAGCTGAAATTTGAATGATCATTTTTAAAGTGAAAGATATCTTCCAAAAGCTAAGCATTAGAAACAGGAAAACAAAGAAACGATTACTGAACTGTTATGTAATATCATTCCTCTTATAATCTCCTCCCAGATGAAAAAGAGACTTGAAGCAACAGAAATGTGGTTCTGCAGAAGGATGTTGAGAATAACATGGACTGAGCAAGTGAGCAACTTTGAAGTTTTAAAGATAATCCGAACAAGGACACTTCTACTTAACATCAGGAAGAGATAGTTGAAATTTCTGAGGTATATAGAAGGCTTGAAAAATTTGATACCCACAGGACAGCTTGTAGGCAAGTGGGATAGGCGAAAAGAAGGTATAACCTACTTACCGAGCTTTGGTAAATGGATGGCGGAACAGGGATTAGGAAAGATAACCAAAAAATTATTGAGAGCTACAAAGGGTAGGAAAATGTGAAGAGTCATGATATCCCATGTCCTGAAGGGACACGGCATATAGAAGAAGATATTGTCCACGTCTGATATGTAAATCTGACAACTTTACACACCATCTCTTGGAAACGTAGGGGGTTTTATACTCTTTGTAGATCTTATACCTTTTTTATACATTGTTTCATCTTTGGTATTCCTTTGCTTTTCTCCCCCCCCCCTCTCTCTCTCTGCTGAGATCTTAATGCTCTTATTTCTCTTGGAAATTCTTTATCTTACTCGTCCTTTATCATACTCGACGTATTCTTCCATTGTTATATCTTCCTCGGATGATTCCAAACCCTATTGGCTCTGTTGATTATCCAAAACCATGTCTTCGTCTGTTTCTTTTTGTAGGACCTTGTTTCAGTGTTTCGATAATAACTAATGCTCTTCGTCCTTCTGATCCTCATATTCTTCTCGGAGCCTCAATTGATCTGCATAGGCTACTCTGCTGTTCCTATTTTTGACTTTTTTGCATCACAATATTGGTAATTTCTGGATCCAACTCCTTATTCTTTTTATGCCACAGGCACATTAATAATTATCAAAGCAGGTCCTAATTCAGATTGCTACATTAATATGAATGACGAGATGTGAATAAATGAATCTGTTTATTATTCCTTACTTGGTAGGTTGAGATCAAGTTGAAATACAAGGATTGGTGTCTGGTTTCAGCTTGGATGAGTCTAAGGTGTTTTCGATCAACAAAGACATCTTGATTGATGTATGTATCAAGTGCCTAGTTCACGTGTTTCAGTTGTGGCTCAATTTATGAAACAGGAAATTTCTTGTGATCAAAATTTCTTTCTGATTGCGTTTACGTTGATATAAATAAGCTTTTATTACTCGAAATACCCGTGAAAATTTCAGGGTTTTCCTATTTGAATTTTCTGATAAATTTTAATTCTCAAGTTAATGATTGAATACGTTCATGGCGAGTTTCACGATTATAAAAAAACTATGACATTCTCCTAATATTATTGCATCGTTAAATATTTCAGCTTTACAACTTTAACCAAATATCACATTCAAAATCATAAATATGAATTCTGGCTTTTATTTAAAGGAGTACAAATGAACAATGAAAATGTACAAATGAAAGGATTTTAAATTGATAATATTTTCTATTTCTCTGAAGCAGAACTTAAACTCATGCGAGTATTATCGCCTTTTCTATCTCCCCCTCCTTACTTTATTTCTATGTCATATGGCCACATCATGTTGAAACACTAGTTTCCGTCCAATCACCAAAGTTAACGAACGTTGAGCCTGATCAGTACCTAGATGGGTGACCGCTTGGGAATACCAGGTGCTGTAAACCTCGGTGTGTGGCTAGTGTAATGGATAATGGCCCAGAATTGATAATCAGGGAGCCGGGTCCGAATTCCCGTTGGGCTTGTCATATAACCTTGGGAAAGGTGTGAATTCACCTCTTCTCCCCTAGTTATGGGTTAATTAGTAAAACTTGTATCACTAAACTCATTATTATTTCAAAAAGCGAAATAAAATTACTTACAAAATATTTAGATTTCGGAATTAAATAACCCATGGAAGTTGGTATGCCGCCAGACAGAAACAATCATAAAAATCTTTCTTTCTAAAACCCCAAAACGCTTTTAATATATCTCTTCTTCCATTTATCCTCACAATCAAAGAGAAATGGTTCATTGTCTGTAGTAATAGCAGAGCATAACGTACATGCTATGTAACTCAGGAACTGTTGTGATCTCGCAATCACGAGAAATAAAAAAAATCCAATTCCCATGTTCCATAGAACAAAGGAAACCGTCCTGCTGGCGGGAAATTTAAATCACTTCTTCTTTTCAGTTGGTCTCTTACAAGAAAAGCACGTGGAATTGAGTACGGTACGTGAAGAATTTTTTTTGTATATTTTTTGAGGGTACCTTTTGCTGTTCCGACGCGCCTTCGAATTTCAGTGTCACATTTTTCGTCATCTGTTTAAAACACTTACCAAATATTTAAATTTCTCTACTAGCTTGATTTTCATGTCTACTATTTTTATTACTTCTTTAATTATTCATTTGTTTATATTTTCCTTTTAAATATTTCCTTTTAAATCTTTTTGTTTAATAATCTTAAAAGAAAGTATCTTGTTGCTAATATTCCTCAGAGTTCTCTCTTCGGCCATACCCTCTTTCTGCTCTGTATTAATAACCTACCTCTGAACATATTCCAATCTTTTGGGGATGGTAGAACAGTTTATAGGTGAACCATCAAATATCTGGATGACCAAAATAGCAGCTGATTTTTCCTCTGGCCTAGACCAGGTGGCTGAATGGGAAAAGAACTCGCTTTTAAATTCAAAGTCAAAAACCAATCTAGTAACATTCTACCATCACAGAACAGACAGACGTTATGATGGATCACAACAAAGCCAGTTACAATTATCCTTATGAAGAAAAGTACACACACACCACACACAAATATATATATATATATATATATATATATATATATATATATATATGTACTAGCAGTAGAGCCCGGCGTTGCCCGGGGGTGTAACAGTAAGAGATAGATCAAGTATCGACCATCATAAAGACTGAAAAATAAAATTGACAAAGATTATTGTTTAAGGTTGACGGACACGCATGTCTTAATTAGTTTTGTTTTGTTTTTTTTTTTTTTTGTTTTTTTACGAATTGGTCAAACCCAAACAAAAACATTGTTTTCAATCGTTATAAGTCTACCGATTGAATAGAATTTTATTATAAACAATTGTTGTGTAAATGGAATTTTTCATGCATTCTGAATGTAAAAATAAAGAAAAAAGTGTGCAAGACAATAAGAAAAAAAAAAGAAGTTTCGTTGAAATCGGTTGAAAATGTAGGAAATCCGATCCCATATATAAATGAACACACACACACAAACAACCTGGGTTTTATAATAAGTATAACTCGATATGAGTTTTCCCCCTTTCATTCTCGCGATGCCTCTTAATCGTGTTTTCAAATTGATTTCGTGCAAAAAGAATTGGGTTTTTCCAATTTTTGGCGCTGTCAGAACCACCGCAAGGTAATTTTACGTAGTCCTGTGAAGTTTTGTTGAAATCGGTTGAAAAATGTAGGAAATCCGATCCAATATATAAACGTACACACACACACACACATACACACAACCTGGGTTTTATAATAAGTATTATATATATATATATATATATATATATATATATATATATATATATATATATATATATTCAGAATCGGTATAATCTGGGGAAGGTTTTATAGGATTTATTTTGACATACACATATACATGCAGCTAGTACATTTTCAAATTTCCGCACTAAGAACAAGGATGAAATGAGAAGCCATCTTGTCAGTAATGGCGCAGATATGTTCGGTCGAGATGTACTGATGTGTGCAGTCATGGTCTAATAATTTTAACATGGCAAGTTATATGCTCAAAGAAACGAGCCCTGCAAAAAAGATTTTTCAGGAAAATAAATTAATAAATTGTATTAAGTGAGTATCTATGCGGTTGATACAACTGTTTACAGGCGCACCCCACAAAATCTGGAAGAGCAGAAACTAGCGGCCCATCTCTTCTCTGGTGGCTCAATGGGGGAAAGGACTGGCTTGTAAAATTTAGTATGTCCAAAACCAAACTAGTAACGTCCCACCACCACCGAACGGACCCTGCAGTTTCATCTATCATAAATGGATGGATGTTCTTCAACCAAGCTCCTTGTCTTGAACGTCTCTTGGGACAAGCTCCGCCCAGACCTCAAGTGAAACTCATAATATATGATCTATTGTTAAAGATACTGGAAAATGTTTGGTTCTAGTATTTAAATGAGGCACGGTGGAGTAATGCATTGAAGAATCAGAGAGCCGAGTTCGAATTCCAGTTAAATCCATTACATTCACTTACGTGCTAATACCCTTGGGAAAGGTATTAATCCTCTTCTTCTCCCAGCTATGGGTAAATAGCAGGACAGACCGGGTTCTATAGCCTTGGAGTGCAAGTGTTCTACCGCAGAAAGAAATGGCAACGGGGAAAAAAATCTGCCTTGTCAGTCATGTATCGAAAGATACATGATTGTCTAACCATGTATTACGCATGGTACATAACTGATTGAATTATATGACTTCCCCTGTTATACTCTATCTTTATAATAACCAGATCAGATCATAAATGGAGTATTGCTGCCATATCGGTGCTGGAGTTGCCCAATGCTTTCTTGCCTATCTTGATAGGGTTCAGAAGGATCTATGCGGTCTTGTGGGTGATCAGCTATTTTCCACCCTACAACCCCTTTCCCCACAAACAAAACATTGCATAGCTACTTGCTACTCTATCGCTTTTTCCATGGCAAGTGTTCTGACGAGCTATATTACCTGTCTCCAGCAGCCCTGAGACCTGTGCAGCCTGGAACTACCATGCTACGTGCACAAGGGTGAACCTACATCATTCGCTTCGTATTCCATTAGTAATTTCCACTGAAACAGTTTCTTTCTAAGAACTATTGCTTTGTGAACTGTTGATTTGTGTAACAGACTCCCAACAAGTTGTTTTCTCGATCACTACAATTTTGACCTCTTCAATTCTAGGTTTAATTGTTAATTGCTACATAACCTCATGAACTACACTTCTTGTTTTTCAACGCTCATACATTAACCCTCTACCTTGAGTGTCTCTTGGATTAATATTAATATTTTAAAAAAAAGAAGGTAGTATATATTATTCTTTCTTTTCCTTACTATATGTTCCTTCTTGGCTTTGTCCTAGGTATGACGATAAACTACATTCAGGCCTCTGATCATGAGATTCGTGGGTTTTAGGTGCGTGGAACGACCTCTTAACTACTGTTGTTCCCAGGTCCATCCTGACTTGGGGTGGTAGCACCAGTTAGGGTCCCGGTTATGGGTAAATAGTGACCCCCCTCTCCCAAAAAATCAACAGGTCATTTTTATAGAAAAATGACAATACAACACTAAAAAAAGTATAAAAATAAAAGCAATACGTTTTTTTTTTATAAAAACATTACCAACAATACATTTTTCTAGTGAAATTACCAGCAATACATTTTATGATCTATAAACTACACTGAAAGTATAAAACTATGTACAAAATATTTAGATTTCAGCATTAAATAACCCATAGCGGTTCATATATTGCTAAAGCAAATCAACCAATCAAAATATATGTATATGCACAAAAGCTGAGTATCGTCTACCATGTATTCAATTGTGAAAGCAGAATGACATATATCAGATTTTTATTACTTCAAAACTCCCATGAAAATTAAATGACTCATAAGGAGTTGATATGCCAGCTTGTTTCGTCCGAGACAAAATGAATCAAAGAGTCGGAAAGGAATGTTATGGACAGAAACTGCCTAACTTATCGTTCTCTGTTTATGTTTTGTACTTCCTCTTTTCTTTCGCGAATCAGTTTATCCTCCTTATGTGTCTTTTTACCCTTCTGAATATTTTTAACACTGTAACTGTATCATTTTTTTTTAAGTATCCACTTCCCTCTTAGATATCTACCATTCTTTTTCTCAAATTCCTTTAACCCTCGATTAGTACTGTGGGACATTTGTAACATGCGATTTCAAACATCGCATGTTAATATATCATTCAGTTATTAATTTTCTTATTATTGATTTGAGTGTTTTCGCAATATTTATTATCCACCATATTATAAAGAAATATTCATAAATTTGTGAAAATGTCTGAACTACGGAACAAGAAAATTTAAATAAAAGTAATTGCCAATTTTATGATGAACGTATCATAATAGCTTGATGACTCCGCCCCTTGGAAAATTAAAACAAGAAATTAAACACCAACACTGTTAAACACCAAATGACAAAAAAATGGTTTCTGAGTCGGCGGATTGCGCATTTTTCCTGTTAAAAAAATTAATGCTTTGAAAATAAATATTTAACATTTTCAACCAAGGAATTGCGTTCCAGCCAACAGTAGAAAAAAAAATGATTCGTGATCCCTTTGAAGGGTATTTAAGCAAAGTTTCCAAACAAAAATCCAGAAAGACAGACAACCGGCAACAAATGGCAATACTCGACTTAAACGAAATTCCCCTACACATTCACCTGCCTTCCTCACCAAGCTACGGAACATTTACTTTCCTCCTCACTTTCTCTCTCACCTCTTCTTTTAAACACAGGCACACGAAGAAATCACATTTATTTCTTATTTTTTTCATATTGGAAAACAATTACAATGAAAGGATTGTATCCTGATAAATATAAGAACTTTAATATTGATAAACGATAAGAAAAATTGTTTTAAAAAACACGAAAATAAAAATGTGTTATATTTAAACAGC